AAAGAAATACAACTACTAGAGAAAAACAGATGGTTTATAAAGAGAACAGAGCAGGCCTTTTATCAGAATGATACCAAAGATCGTTCAAAATTCTTAGTGTAAGCAAGCTGCTTCTAGGATAACCACTAGCGACTCTTGCCTCCTGGCACTACCCTCTTGTTTCATCACCGCACCTTTCCTGTATCAGTTTATAGAAAGATTGTGGCTTCTGCCTTGGGTGTCTTGGGCTTACTCACTCTTTCTCTCTTGGGTTAATTGCCATGAGGAAAGTCAGATGACATGTCATAAGGAATCATGGAAAGGCACATGTAACAGGCGACCCATGTGGGTCAATTCACACATGAGTAAGCTTGGAGACAGATATATACCACCACCCCACCCCCCAGATAAGCCTTCAGAAAAGACTATAGCCCCAGCTAATACCATGACTGCAGTCCTGTGAGACCCTGGGCCTAGTGTTCCTAGCTAAGCCACACCTGAATCCACAATCTCTAGAAGCACTGAGATAAAATGGTTTTTTTGCATCAAGTTCTCTGATTAATGGTAGGTAACAATAGGTAATTAATGCAATCCTTAACAAATGAGTACAGAAGATACAAACCCTTAAAAGTGGTTAAAGAATAACAGCATATGAAATAAAACTGTAAATTAAAATGACAAACTTGAAAAACTTAAAAATCTTCCTTATACACACAGACTGCACAGGAAATGGGTATTATTCCTATTCAAATAATGTGCATTTAAATTGAAACAAATCAAACTTGAAGACAGCTTGTATCAAAAATTAATTTACTCTATAGCCATAAAATTCTGCTTATAAGAAATTTATTCCAATAAAGCACATACATTGTTTAATAGCTAACCCTCAATAGCTATCAATAGGGTAATGACCAAATTAGGGTATACCCATAAAATAAAATATAATATAGCCATAATCCAATCTCTTTCTACCTGGAGGGGAGAGAAAAGACAGCATGGTTCAATACTGACAGAGGTTTAAGTGTGAGAATCTGATACTACAATATAGAGTAAGGTTTAATATTGTATGTCAGAGCAGGGGGAAGGGTTTGATTCAGTGATGATAAAATATAGTAGGATCTAGAGACAGAATGTCTGGGTTCAAATTTTTGTTTACCCCAATGGGATCCAGTTAATTTATAATTTCTTTGTACTTATTACCCAAATAATAAACAGTATCCATCTTATAATACAATGGTAAGGATTAAGTAAAACTACGCCTTTAAAAAAAAACTCCATACAATAAGGATCTGGTAAGTATTAGTGAATACTTACATCATTAACTATTACTCCAAAAAAAAAAAAAAAAGCCAGGAGACAATAAATATGGAGATCCTGTCATAAAAAATCATGGAATTTCTTAGTATATGGACAATAAGGGTTAAGGAATTTAGTAAAGCAAGAACCATATGGCTGGATGGAATCATTTGGAAAATTTCATAGAGAGAATTTGAACTGGGTCTTTGTATATGCACAGTATTTAGCAAAGAGAACAAGTGACAAACAGGACACTGCTATGCTTTGGTTGAATGCAGTGATATATAACTGTAAGGTCAGTTACTTCAAAGGCTGACGCAAGAACATCACAAGTTCAAGGCCAGTCCTGGCAACACAAGAAACATGGGTAATCTTGTCTCAAAAAAAAAGAAGCTGCTATGATTTGAGTGTGTCCCCCAAAGGTTCACATGTTGGAAGCCTCGTCCTCAGTGCGATGGTATTGCGAGGCACTAGGGAACCTTAAAGAGATGGGACCTGATGGGAAATAGTAGGACCATTAAGGGCACCGCCTTAATTCCTCAAAGGGAATTAATGTAGTTCTTGTGGGACCCGAGCTCTTTGAGAGTGCTCAAAGAGCAAGCCTAACCCAAGATGCTCTGTAGCTCTGGCTTCCTATATCACCAAGTGAACTCTCCCTTTGCACATGCTCTAGCAATGTCATGTGGTGATGCAGACACAAAGTCCTTCACCCAAGCCAGCACCTTGCTAGGCAAACACTGTTATCACTTGAGCTACACCCACCAGACTTTTGTTTGTTTGTTTTTGCCATAGGGTCTTGTTCCTTTACCAGGGCTGAGCTCAAACTAGAGATTTTTCTGCCTCTACATCCCAAGTAGTTGTGATTACAGGAGCAGGCTACCATACCCAGCTGGAAACTAAAACTGCAGGAAAAAAAAAAACTCTTTAGAATATTCTTGGCATTCTAAAGCAGGTAGACATACTATACACTGTGTGGTGTTTCAGAGCAATGATTATCTCGTACTTATTTTTATAGACTTAATGTTTAAAACAGTTCATAGCACATGAGAAGCTCTCAGTAAAATGTTACAGAAGTAGAAGGAGTAGAGAACGGCTTAAGACTGCACAGCTTGTTACTAGCAGAGCCTTACTTAGAGCTCAGGTCTTGTAAATCTTCACTATATACCACAATACAACGATGACATCCGAGCTTCCATGCATAAAGATGGTGTAAGAAATGAAAATAAATGACAAGAACTGCACTTTAGGGACTGCTGATTCCTAGGGGAAGAAGGAAAATGAAACAAGGCATCAAAGAAAGACAGTTATGGGGAAAAGTAACAGTGTTGTTTTGTGGATTAAAGAATACTTTTCAAGAAAGGTAGCACAGTCAAAGTGTATTAATTGCACATATGCTCTGCCAGTGTTTCTCTGATCTCTTATATCAAGGAGGCACAATGCAAGGAGAGGACACTTTTTAAAAAAGAATTTTATTTTTTAACTTCCCTTTCACAGGATTTTACAAATATATCACTCAGCAATGATTTACAAAAGTACTATTTTAAGCTTCAGTAAATATTGTGTCTATAAAATATAAAACTAGAAATCACGTCGTTATAGTAGCTAAGAAAAAGCAATTGAAAAAAATCATTTACATGCATTAAAACAGCAACAAAATACATTAAATACCAGAGGTTTTACCTTAAATCTCTTGTCCTGTAATACTTTCTTGATGGCAACCAATTCTCCTGAATCACAAAGTTTGGCTTGATACACCACACCAAATGATCCATTTCCAATCACTTTAGTATCTGTATAGCTGACTTCTTGTGGCCTATCTGGACCCTGCCCAGGAGTTGCCACCACTGTGGTCACCTTGCTGCCATCCTTATCTCCTAAAGGAAGAAAAAGATTTAAAAAAAAAAAAAATGAGAACTACACAGAATTACACTGAGAACACTGCCAAAGTGTATTCTTTACTACAACTTACTTTAAATGCACATCTTAGTTTATCATGTAGAGTTGTTTTGATCATAAGCAATTTTTTAACCATCATTCAGACATTCTATAGGTCATGCTTATATATGTATAGGACATTATTTACTTAAAACAGCAACTCCACGAAATAAATATATTGTCCCCATAGTAAAAGTAATGGGAAATCCAAGAGTAGTGGTGTACACTTGTAATCCCAGCACTTGGTAGGCAGAGGCAAAAGGATTATGAGTTCCAGGGTAGCCTGGGCTACATCATGAGACCCTATCTGAAACAACAAAAAAAGTAATAGCAAGAAGGTTAAAATCGCCCAAGGTCAAATAGCAAACCCCATCAGAATTTGCAGTATTTTGAGGCCTCTGACTTGAGAATATATACAACTGAAAATATTTAAACATGCCAACCCTATTTAGACCCTTCTACCTTTTGGAAGGTAAGGTTTTGAGTTTTTGCTTCCCCGTATCTTACTTTCTTTGAAAAAATTACTACAACACCTATTGGAAAATGGTCAGATCGGGGAAAGAATTTTAATTTTGGGCTAACGGATGTAAAACCTAAAAGCAAAATCCAACCCATTGTGAAATGAGCCCCATATGTAAGAAGCTTACTGGTTTGGTCTCTGCTCATATGCAGCCCTGATCTTTCCTTTTGCGCCTTCCCCCATCCCTAACAACAACCCCAAAACACCCTCAATTCAAGCTCAAGTGCCACCTCTTACTTAATTAGGCAGAGTCCACAATAATCTTATTTCTTATTCTCCGAATTCTTAAACTATTCTGAACTATATTAGAGTGCCTAGCGTCTGATTTTACAGAGTTTTAAATTGTCCTTTTAGTGATTTTAGAATATGAACAGGTTCTAGAAACTAGAATCATACTGAAATAGCAATTATGACTCTTCTTTCTTCTTGCTTTCCTGATAAATCTAAATTCAATTCTCAGTACAGTCTAAGTACTTTAGGCTCACTGAATGAACTGTATTTTTTTCTATTACTCTTTCATTATGTCAATTTTTGAATACTAACTTGACTTATACTAACCTAATAAGAAAAAAAATAAGACTCATGAGCATTTCCTCTAACAAATATAAATTGCTAGATAAATGACTATCTAAGATATTGGTAGCATACTATAACCAGTATTTTTAACCATTTAAATTTATGAAGTTTTAATGCAGACAAAAGCCAGTAAGTAATGTCTGTGAGATTAACCCTTTTTCTTGCTTAAAAGATTATTTTCTAAAGATGCAAAAGAATTAGGGAAAGCAATGAGTGACTTCTACATAAAATAGCTAGGTGATTTACATTTTGATTACACTATTACATCATGGTCAAATATCTTGAACACGTGTGCCTTTAGTTCCAAGGTAAAACACCCAAATATGTATGATTTAATTTGCACAATATCACTTATGGAAAGACAACTCAAATCTTGTCTGCACCACAATATTTATTTGAAACACTATTACTTATGCTTTGAATTCACAACACAATCAACCTGACCTCAGAGTTTGAGTGTTCAAGTCTAAACTTATAGTAAAATAAAGGTTAGATATATTTGCTAGAAACCTAGTTTAGTCAAATTAAGCTCTGAATTATCATGCTCCCCATTTCCCTAAATCTGACTATGTTAATTTTAACTACAACTTTTCAAGTTGACTATAAATATTACTGTAAGTTATTTTCTTCCTCATTTGAAAAATAAACCATTCTTTTCTAGATTTTTACATTCCTAAAGAAAGATTCAGTCTTTTGAACTTAAACTTTAAACAAAGAGAAAGTGAAAGGAAGATCCAGAAGGATTAATATCCAAAGCACTGAATACATTCTTATAATCCAACTGTCTCGAAGATAAAAAGCAGAAATGATTTCAAACCAGTCTGACTTTTCCCTAGATCATCCAAATTAAAATCAAATCACCAAAGAAAGATGTCAAGAACATTGAATTAATTCCACTGAACAAACTGCTTGCAAAGTCTCACAAGTCTAACTCACAAAACAAAATATTGTCATTTTAATTAAGGTGAATTAATAGACTTTTAAAATGATTGTTATACACAGCAATTTTAATTGAAAACAAATTTTTCTGAAAACATATGCCTTTCTACTGCATGATATTTCAATAAAGAAAACAGGAGCTACAGCTTTGTATGTGCTCCATTAAGAGAACCAACAGAAGTATTTGTGATGACTTTGCCCACTTGCTTCCTTGCTACTACAAAAACCTTTCTCAGGGGTTTGTGAAGCGGAATGAAATACACCCATCAGAACTCTGGAACTCAGCACTTCTTATGCTTAAGTCTGAGAATGTCTTCTAGCATCGTGATTTGCAAATGGAAAGATTAAACAGGCAGGCTTAATCCCATGTACTCAAAACAGGTTCTCGAGACCTCTTCACTTTAAAGGAAGATCTGATGTGGACAAGACCAATCCTTTCACCCTCTTGTACATCTACAGAAAAGGTACATACTATGCAAACAGGCATTAAAAGACTTACTCCATTTTCCCTCAAGCAGTTAGAGAACTCTTCATAAGAAATGTTTGTCCATACTAGAAGCAATAACTCTCAAGTTTTCCACAGACCTCAAGCATCCTAGAAGTTTTATTCTGAAAACATAACACTCTTCAGACTGTTCTACTGAAGATCTGAAATAACAGAGCTGAAAAAAATAATAAGGTAACACTGGGGATGATTTGGCATGAACAGTACCAGCACTGGCAGTCAGCAGATATTGTGCCAAGGAAAAACATGTCACCACTTAGCACTGTAATCAGCTGATTGGATAAAATGTCATTGTTTACAAAGAACTCTCCCATTCATTGTTTCATCTACCTCAATACTTGTAATAAATGTTAAGGATACATCATGTCTACTGTGCAAATGAAAGATTAATTTACTGAAAAATGTTAAGTAGCACAACTCTTTACATGTCTGTGCTACCTCTGCTATATTTTATAACCTTCCTACTACTGCTGAAAGATTAACTTCATGTTATTTCCTACCCTCTCTTCAAAGAAAGGAGACATTTCTGATAAAATGAAAAAAGATCAGCTCCAGAGTAAGGCAATGAATGAACAATCTATTACAGTTTTCAGGCCTCAACTAATTTACTCCTTCCTAGTTAAAAAAATAATAAAAATCTATTTCCAAAGACACTTTGGTAACATTAAGTTTTGAAATGTATACCCCCAAAAAGCACATGAAAAATAAAAATTTAAGATGGGTGTGGTGGTGCACATCTGTAATCCCAGCCACTTGGCAGGTAGAGGCAGAAGGACCATAGTTCAAGACCAGCTTAAGCAAAAGTTAGCAAAACGTGATCTCAAAAACAAGCCGGACCTAGTAGTGTATGCCTGTGATTCCAGTTACTTTTGGAGGTTGAGGTAGAAAGATCACTGTCTGAAGCCATCACAGGCAAAAGTACGAGGCCTTGTTTGAAAAGCAAACTAAAACAACAGGGGACATGGGTCACGTAGCCTTGCAAGGCCCTGAGTTCAATCCCTAGTACCACAAAAAAAAAAAAAAAACAAAAAACAAGTAATTCTGTGACATCCAAACAATTTAATATTTGCCACTAGAAATTGGATTAATTTGGACCACACCAATAGAGAAGCATTGCTTCCAAGAGGTCAAAATCCTCATTAAAAAACCAACTAGAAATTACAGCAAATCTGTCTCATTTAAAAAAAAGAAAAAAAAGTCATTCTCAATTCTCTCTATAGATGAGATGACCCCGTTTCATCTTATTGAAACTGTATTCCTTTCCTGATAAAATTTTTCTACCACTTTCACTACCAAAAAACTAAGCACTCTCCCCAATATTTAATTTCCCAGAACACATGGTACAATGATTCTCACACTAATTATATAATACTAGCCATTATAATAAAATTGGTCTTCATTTTTGAATTTTTATGCTGCTGTGCTCAGGCGCAGCAGCAGAATAGTGGGAATTAGCTCCGCTCCAGGCCCTCTCTGGCCAGAGCACTCCTGGGACTCCTCTAAACAATTAGAATCTGCTCACATGGCACAAATATCCTGTTATAATTAGAACATAGAGTTATATCCCCTACTTTTTACCACAATAGAGAAATCTTAAATGTATAAACCACAAGAGACTCCTCATGAAACAACAAAAAGACAGCATGCACCAGAACAATGTTCTTGTGAAGACTATTAAAAACAGAACACAGCTTTTACAAAACCTTTAGCAAGTTTAGGCATATTCTAAAGTGATCCAAGCAGCCTAGTTCCCAATCTCTCAAACACAGGGCTGTACCTGTAAGGAGTACTGTGGTCATATTTTCGAAGTCTTTTGAAGTAAAGCAACCCACCCTGAGATGAACAAATGTTAACACTGTGACATGGACCACATCCAAAGTATAAAGTGATCACCCAAAACTCAAAATGCTGTTTCGAGGATATTTAAGGATTTGGCACTGACATTCTAATCTTATATGAATGATAAATCTCAAAGTTGAACATACTTTTGTTCATTTAACAACGGCATTTGATTTTTTTTCCCTTAAGGAAGCCACTTCTTAGGATTCAGAGCTGAGAAAAACAGTAACTGGAAAATTTTTAATGAAGAGATTTTAGACACTATTAGTAAGTCACATTGCTGAAACAAACTAAGCAACTCATGACACAGTCCAAGAAATATTCTGGTGATCTTGCTGTGGGAGCAAATCTTCCCTTGCTTCAGAATGAGATCTCCGTGTATAAATAATATAAAGTTGTATAACTGCAACAAAAGCCCAGAGAAACCAGCATACCAACCTGTGACTACACATGAGGTACAAAGCATTTTCATGATGTTTTCTACCTAACAAAAACATTAATATAGAAAAACAGTACTGCATATCATGCTCTATCACAAAGACAAATAACAGATTTTAAGGTAAGATTAAAAGCTGTCAGAAAAGGAAGCACTGCCATTGTCAGTTTTTTAAATTTTTAAAATCAAAGTTCAAATAACATTTTATGCTAACCAACTCACTAAAAGAACTTCTATTAAAGCAAGATGTTCTCTCCAAAATAAACCTACTAGAACAAACATAAAAATTAGCAAAGGAAATAAGAACGAACTAAGGCTTACAGAATCACAGTTAAGATAAATTCTAAAATGAACTTAATTCTCATCACGAAATTGGGGCTCTATTCCATTTTGTGGAATCTCCTGGCAGAGTGCTCAATTTTTCACATACCTTGGAATATGACACTGAAGAAATAAACGGAATACCATCCAGGTAGGTGATGCAGTGAAATCAATCCTAATGATAAATAGCGTGATAAAAAAAAATTCCAGGGCAATTTCTTTGTAACTTTGATGTGTTTAAAAAAAAAAAAAAAGTCTTTCTAACAAGGCCTTTTCCCTTAGACATTTTTTATCCCCAGGATTGGTAAAAATCAAACAAAAGAATTTACTGAATTCCCTTTGGAAATAGGAAAAATAAACAAAAGAAGAGGCAGGGCAAACAAACACACAGATGTCACACAAGAGGCTAGTTTCTGGAGATTTCCCTGTGCATCACTTCTAAATATGGAAAGGAAACCACAGGGTAGCAGAGAACAGAAGAAACTACTCCAGAGCCTTTAAATCACAGAACAAGAGCTTGCTAATGGGATTAACAAGCATCAATTCTGAAGAACTATAAAACTTTCCTTCTTAAAAAAAAATAAATAAATAAAACCAGTCAAAATTTTGTCTTTAAGAAAGGCATAATTATTTAGTAGAAAAAATATGAACTCTGAAGTCCTACCAAGGTTTGCTAGGAAGGCACTCTACCATGTGAGCCATGTCCCCAAACCCTTCTGCTTTAGTTATATTGAGGACAGGGTCTCATGGTTTTTGGTTTTTTGGGGTTTGTTTTTTGCCTGAGCCAGCCTGGATGGTGATCCTCTCACTCAGCTGGAATGACAGGCTTTTGCCGCCATGTCCAGCTTGTTGGTTGAAATGGGATCTTGCTAACTGTTTGCCAGGACAGACCTCCAACCTCGATCCTCCCAGTATACCACCTGACTAGCTGGGATCACAGGCATGAGCCATGGTACCTGGCCTCTACTAAGGTTTGAATCACACATTCTACCACTACGATTCTATAAAATGGAGATAACTGCTACATCACAGATTCTTGTGATGATTAAGTAACATAGATGAAGTAGTTTTTTTAGTTGCGTGCCACATAGCAGATGCTAAATAAATTATACTTTCTCTGAACTTTGACTTATTAGACCACACTATATGTGACCTACTTCAGTGCTTACCACAATGTTCTATAATTATTAAAAGTGAGTCCTTTATTTCACTAAGCACACTTAGGAAAAGCAGACATTATCTCAATCATTTCCATTTCCCTACTGCTTATTAGCATAGGGTTTAGCACAAAGGAAGTGTTCAGCAAAAGTTGAATATTTAATTTACATAAGAATCATTCCAGCAACTTGGTTAGGATTTGGAGTTGACCAAGTTTACTTCTTCCTATGCTTGCCATTAATCAAATACAAATTCCTGGGGATAAGGCATATAGAAGAGCCTTGACCAGTAGTAAAACAGAATGGAGGACTCAATGAAAACATGGCAACAAATAACAAATAACTCACTTTGACACATTTGATGTACTTACAGATATGCAACAATGGTTAAATACTGGGCAGGAGACCTAGCTAAGGTCTTACATACAATATTTGTCAATGTGTATATAAGTACATACCTTGACAACTGTTTACAGCTTGTAAGCACCACTCACAGTAGGCCTAAGAATCACTTGAGAGAGTTTAGCAAAAATGAAGATTCTACAATTTTATCCCTCAAGAAGTCAGCAGGTCTGAAGTAAGGCTCACAAAAATCTTATTTTTAATAAGCACTCCCCAAATGATTCTTAATGCAGTTTTTGCCATGCTCTGAGAAAGAACCACAATATGCATTTCATTCCTCTAACAGTCTTATGAGACACAGAACAATCATTTAATACATGGGAGAGCATAAGGTATTTGAAAAGTTTCACTTATTTGCCCGGGGACCTCCTCAATAAAGCTTGCCCACAGAATTCAGACCTGTCCATTCACTGGAAAACCGTGCCCTACTGCACTCAGAAACTGACTTTCTGTGTTCAGCAAAACCGAACATCTCAAATGTTTATAAAAGGTTCTGATAGAAGTATCAACTAGCTACCAGATTTTTACTTTGAAATAGCCATACTTCTTTTCAACTAATTTTAGCTGACTCATTTTTGCAGGTGAATGTAAAATGTTAAAATTTATAAAACGCTATTATAAATGCACAGTGTATTCAATAGCTGCCATATTTATTTTCTCTTTTAAGGAAACTGTTAAGTTACATGGTGGTTAGGAGTTGTCTGTTCACCCTTGAAAACACCCACATTCTATCAGTGTGTATGGTCAGATTTAAGTCCCAAATTGTTAAACGCTGGTAATTAAGTCATAACCAGTTTTATTGCAAAAGGACCCTGTTCACATTTATCAATTCTAACACCTTAATAGCTAACAGGTCATTAACATACAGAAACATGCATCATGAGAAGCAAGACATATCACCCTTCTCTTGTGCATTATTAGCAATTGTCACTCCTGAGCCACAGTCCTCATCGCTAAGGTCTGTGAACTGTCACTTTTCGCCTTCATCCTAAGCCAAAGATGTAATGATGTACATACAAATGCAACATACTATAAACAATTTCTTCTTACCAAAGAAAGTCGTAAGTTAAACCAAAGTATTTTACAGAATCGACTACAAAACGCCATTGAAACTACCTTCCCTCAAGCTCTCTGTCCCTGTTGGGGGATGGGGGACGCGACTAGATGTTTTTGGGCACAATGGTGACTCTAGGCGTGGGTGGCACAGACTGGTACAGTCCAACGCACCCAGCAGGTGCGCTCCACTGGCCTCCTGAGGCGCACCAGGGGCTTCAGGTTTTGAAATCCTGGGCGATTCTCTCACCAACCTCTGAAAGGCAGCTTCCGGAGAGGAAGCGGGTCGATTTCCGTAAGGACGAATCGGTCAGCGCGCCACAGTCCCAGGCCTGTAGCGGTGATGTGTCTTCACCCGCAGGTGGAGAGGAGGGCGCGTTTCCTGGCGGCGCTAGGGTTTCCCACCAGTGACTTACGAGCAGCCTGCTTGGTGCGGGCCATTCTCCTCCCGCAGAGCGCAGTCGCCGCTTCTCCACGCACAGTGCACAGTGAGCGAGCGAGCGAGAGAGCGAGAGAAGAGAGAGAGAGAGAGAGAGAGAGAGAGAGAAGGCTGACCAATGAAGAGCCGGATCGCGCAGCCCGCGGACAACGCTCCTCCAACGAACGCCCGCTGAACAGCTCCGATGGACTCTTTCTACTTCTGCTAGGACTATAGTATTGTTTTAAACCACTCAAGAAATCAAAAATCTGAAAGGACCATGCTAATTTTCAGCAGTCTCAACTTAAATATTATTTTACTTAAAAACCGTCAGAACGAAGCATATATTCCTCTTTTTTCTAATTTGCACGAACTGGAATAAAATCAAAGCAAAACCCAAGATGAATAAATATTTCACACGATCTAAGCCTTTCCTTAATTTCCATGAAAATCCTCATAAAAGGCTTGCATTGTGTTCATAAAGACCTTTGACTTTTAGAAATTACATTAGTCTTTAAGTCTTAAAGGTACCCACTTGATTTAGAAATTAGCCAATATGGAATGGAAAGGGAGGTTAAACAGTACACTTAAGGCTTTAATCTTCAACATTCACAAATCTAAAAGGAAACCAGAAAATAGCTCTTACAAAGCTGGTGTATTTAATTCTAGTCCATAGTGAGCTGAACAGCAGAAACCACACTTTACATATACGGATTAGGTCTGTTTGTATCCACACATACCTTTGATCCTGAATACTGCCTTCTGACAACTCGAATACTCCCAATGTAATCCTGCCTTTCCCTGAAGTACGAATCAAAGATATCTATACCCTTTAACCCAAAATATTTCCTGTAAGTTTACATAAATTTTTATACTTTTTTTTTGGCAGTACTGGGGGCTGAACTCAGGGCCTTGTGCTTGCCCTCTACCACTTGAGCTACCCCACCTAATTTTAAAGTGGAAGTTATTAAGCTAAAAATTGCTGTTAAATGGCAAACAGTGACAGAGGGGAGGAGAGAGAGCAGGATTTGTTTTTCTCCCGAAGTACTATTGCTTACCACAGGTTGGTCCTACATGCCTAGCAATGGCAATGTAACAGCTAATACCCATTATATGCAGGCAGTAATCACGTTCCTCACACATTTACTGGAGTGTCCCTGATTTATGCTTATG